CGAATCACAAAGTTTTATGCATTTGAATCATCTCTATCATTGCCATCATTCAACCCCCTCTTAAGCCTTTCTTTTTTGGTTTACACTCTTTGAAATCACCAGCTGTGTTTTACATTCTATGAACATTGTATGATGAATAGACCAACAGAAATGATCCAAAAGCCAGAAAAAATCTTCTCATCTCCTATAAAGTTACTCTCACCGTTTTCTTACAGCTGCAAAACTATGTTTCATCCACAAATACCTGAATTCCAAAGTATCTGGGTGTCACGATTTGCAATATTTAAATGAAGTAGGTCTTTATAATTACCATCATAATAGTTCTTTGCATTGGTTGTCACTGTGAAAAGTGAATAATGCCTCAGAACACTGCGTATCTGTAATGGATTCCTCTAACTGTCTCTGATTTGAGAAATAATGACCTACCTAATGGCCCAGGTGGCAGTTGAGATGCAGCTTTCCAGGTTGAAACAGAAAAGATGAATCTGGTGAGTATCTGAGTTTATACCAATCAACTCAGAACAAGCCTTTAAAAACATGAGTGAAAAGCACTGCTGCCAGTGGCCTCGTCCTTGCCAGTACCCTTGAAAGAAATTTGATGTGGGGTGAAATATTGTGTGGGCTCTGTTATTATTTCTAGAGGAAAGCTCTCGGAAAACACATTTGTAGGCCTGTAGTTAAATGCACTGGCAGTGTTATTGGGGAGAAAGTGGAGTGATTCTGAATGTAAGCCAACTGTGTAGTTGGAGTATTGCTTTCGGCCTTGCATCATTGTTTGTGTCTGAAATCTTATGACATACTGAAACTCATTCATCTTCAGACCTTGTCTCTACATTCACATTTGTGCTGCTGACAAACATGCTGAACTTTGTGGCAGTTGTAGATGTGTTATTGCTAAGTGCAAGGAGATCAGCGCTCTGACGCTTCTCCAAGAAAATAAGCCACGCCAACCCCCAAAGAAGGGGACTGGTCTGTTTCCGTAAGAGTGGGTATCAAAGCATCAGCATTATAGCTTGAGATATGTGTCCAATGGGACCTGACCGCTCACTTCGGGTTCGGACATCATTTCCCAAATACACTAAATGGTCAAAAGTAGTTGGATACCTGACCATCACAGCTATATGAGCTTGTTGGATGTCCCCTCCCAAAACATGGGCACTAACATGAAGTTGGCCCCCCTTTGCCACAATAACAGCTGTTCTTCTTGGAAGGCTTTCCAATAGATTCTGGATTGTGTCTGAGGAAACTTGTGCCCATTCAGTCAAAACAGCATTTTTTGGAGTGCCTTAATGCCAAACTCATCAAATCAAGTCTTTATGGACTTTGTACACAAGGGCTCAGTCATGCTGGAACAGGAAAGGGTCTTTCTCAAACCATCACTGCAAAGTTGTAAGCATATTATTGTCTTTGTAGCGTTAACATCACCCTTTACTGGAACTAAGGCACCCAAACCCTGAAAAACAACCCCAGCCCATTATCCCTCCTCCACCAAACTTTACTGTTAGCACTATGCATTTCGGTAGATAGTGTTCTCCTGGGTTCTCCCAAACCTAGATTCATCCATCAGACTACCAGACAGAGAAGCATGATTCATCACCCCAGGGAACACATTTCCACTGCCCCAGCGCCCAATATTGGCATGGTTTACACCACTCCAGCTGATACTCGGCATTACGCATAAGTGATCTTAGGCTTTTGTTCAGCTGCTCGGCCATGGAGACCCATTTCATGTATCCCCCGACACACATGGTGGCCCAGCTCTGTGAGTTTGTGTGGTTTACCGCCTTGTGGCTAAGCAAAAGTTCTCTTTCTAAGTTGTAGCAAAGGTGGAATTCTATGACAGTGCCATGTTTAAAGTCACTGAGCTCTTCAGTATAACATTGTACTGCCAATGTTTGTCTATAAAGATTTCATGGATATGTGCTTTATTTTATATGCTTGTTAGCAATGGGTGTGGCTGAAACACCTGAGCTCAATAATTAAGAACGGTAATACTTTTGCCAAATAATGTATGTGTTGGACTCCAGTCAAGTTCACATTACGGTTCTCACAGTGTGCTTCTTGCTTTATTTTACACTGTATTTCTCCTGCTTTAGCTTTACTTTTTACTTTATTCTTATTCTCTATATTTATAATTTTAAAATAGTTTTAATCTGGCATGGTGCAGTCTCCCACTCATGAAATTAGGACTTTATTCAGCACCATAAGGCCCATGATAGTGAGAAAATAGATGAAAATAGATAGGTAAATAAAACAGTGACTCTATTCAGGGGAGTACAGTTTAGTGCAGCCAAAAGGATGTTTGGATTTTTAGTTTTAAATTGGCCAAAACTGTGTTTTTATTTTATATGTAGTATGTTCAATGTAACAAAATAGAGTTTTAGGCCAGTACTACACAGCATGAGAACAGCACAGTGTAAAAACCTTATCTTGACTAAAATATAATTGATGTTGTTCAGAACCATTACTTGATTAATAAAAGTTAAAGTGGAATTTAAACTACTTCTTTTTTGACAGCTGATCATGTTATTATATCATTATTTTATATCACTTTTTTATTTATGGATGATGTAATGATATTATTGTCACTGCACTACCATCATTAGTTTTATTCAGCACTTTGGGTGATATTGGGCTAATTTGGTCAGTTTCTGACAGAACTGTGTTGGGCTTGGGTCAGTTTTTGTACTCAAAACTCAATGATGTGGTTTGAGTTGGGTCGGGTTTGTACAAGATTTTGTCGAGCTCAGGTCCAGTTCTGACTCCAAATGCGATGATGTGGTTTGAGTCTGGTTGGACAGGAAGTTCTCAGGCTGTATAACATAAAATATCAGCCCATCAGCATCAGCATGGCTGAGCTCATTTTGGTGCTTGGCCCCCAATCATTGCCGTCAGGCTAAAAAGCTCACTCACTTTCATTACCTCTGATTGACTGAGCCACAGTAGGGTCCTGCCCCCCAGCAGGCCCGAGATTCAACTTCTTAATGGCACTCCCTTGGGATGAATCAACTCCTCTGAAACACTGGACATTGCAGTAATTATGCTGGCAACCTTTTACCCATGAAGCATTTTCTGTGGTTGTTTCTTCATTAATTGATATCTGTTGCTAGATTCTTCACAAAAATGCCTTTTTGTAATAAAAATGTATGTTTTGTTTAATATCCAGGTTGGCAAAATGATGTTTCGATAAAAGATACAAACTTTTAAAATTGTGTTAACTTTTACATAATTACTATAATATATAACATACTACGGTTATTGCTATACTGTACTGTACTATACTATACTATACAAAATTAATGTTACAGTCAGGATTGGTTGACACTACAGGGATTCCCAATGGTCGTATGATTTGTTTGTGTAATGCGTGCTAGGTATTGTTGTGAGAGGACATTGATGAATGGACACACAAATTGATGAGGCTGAGGGAAACAATGCTGTTTCACAGAATATTTTAAACTAGTTTCAAGGCTGGAATGCCCTAAACAGATACTCTAGTCAAAATTAGCTCTTGCTATGCAAAGATAAAACACAGCTTTCTAATAAATTGATTCAGGAGTGGAAATAACACTAAAATCGAAAACAGAATACAGAAGATGTTTATGGCTAAACCTTTCCCAATTTGCAACTTCTTTTTTGGTGCAGCAGAAAAAAAAGCACTAATGTGCTTTATTAGCTGTCATCAGTGTTAATGGAATGGAAGGCTGACTGATGAGGGAGGCAGGAGTGATGAGCGATGTCAAATTCATTTGTCACATTCCAATACAAATGAGAACACGCAAATTGCATCCGGGGTCAATGAGTGGCTTATGACTCACTTTCCTCTCCCACACGGATGTTGGAGTATGCAGGGTTGTGTGGATTATAGTGTATAGATATTCCATGAGAGATTACATATTCAGTGTCCACTTCATTAGAAACACCTCCCTTGTTCAGTTGCATTGGCCACTTTATAGGTCCACTGTATAGATGTACAATTACTGTAGCCCATCTGTTGTCATGCAGAGCTTCATCATTGATCATTGACCAGTTTTATTTGTAGGCGACTCCTGAGGTGGTCTCAGTATGGTGGTCCAATTCAAGCTTTGTGAAAACGAAAGATCTCCAGTCCTCACTTAACACTTCAGGGTGCATAACATCATCTAATCATTCAGGAAATCTGGAGCAAGACCAAAAACCACAACTAAATGTCCATAGTCTTCAGTGATTTGATGATGGATATCACTACATGGGCTCAGGAATACTTTGACAAACTGTCATCAGTAAACAATATTTGTCGTTGCATCCACCAATGCATGTTAAGTAGAAGCCTCATAAACAAGGTCCAAAAACACCGCCAACTTCTCTGGGCTTGAATTCATCTGAAATGGACTGAAATGTGCATTGTGGTCTAACAGGACAACCTTTCAGATCGTTTATGAAAATAATGGACTTTGTCTTCTCCGGGCCAAATAAGTGAAGGACCATCCAGATTGTTACCAGCATACAGTTCAGTCTGTCATGGTGTGGGAGCATATTAGTGGGTAACATCTGTGCAGACACCATTAATGCTGAAAGATATAAACAGATTTTGAACAGATTTCAATATTACACATTTGAATTCTAATTCTCTTTGAGGTCTGAGTTCCAAAGGAGTTGTGTTGTGAACGACGGGTGGTCTGAGATTCAGTCAACACTAAAGAAGTACAGAAAGAGAAATGAATCCCTTTTAAAGGTCACTTACATTGTGAACACAAAAAGCATTGACTCCAGTTGCAGTTGATCCCCAAAGTTGACTTTAAAAATAAATTATATGTGAAAACACGTTTCTACGTGTTTGCTGATGCCACACCAGCATTGCAGTAAGTGACATATTATGAATCAATGTTCATATTGCTTTGTACATAGATATGCAGATGTCCAGTGGCCTGGTCAGTCAGTGCAGAGTTCAGTGCAAAGTTCACAATTACAAACATGCCCAGAGCAGCCCTGATTAACCCAGCTGTGCTGTCCTTCTGCAGGTGCTGAATGTGACACTGATGGAGGGGGAGGAGGTGGTTCTTGAGGATCTGGGGGGTCTAGAGCCGTCCATCCTGGCCAACGAGTCGGTGCTGACCAGGGGGCTGGTGGTGCGCAGCTCCAGCAACCAGATCTCCATCCGCTTCAGCAGCGAGAAACGGCACACGGCGAGCTCCCTGCTGCTGCGCTACAGAGGTAACACTTCACCCACAGGCACCCCACTGCACTCTGATACTGACAGCCACATCCCCTCAGCGCAGTGCACTGTAGGTAAAAGACAATGCCAATATTATAGAGGTTTCTTCTGAGTCACAACTCACAAGAAGATGAGAGCATTATGGCACTTTATTGATCTACTCACAGAAGTGCACATTTGCACCAACTCCACAAACCTCTAATAAAAGCATTAAAGGGTCCATAATGTGGGAAAAAGAAGTGGCTCTTTTGAAATGAAAGTTTGATGAAGGATGTTCAAAATGTACCGCTCACTCTCCATACCATAGTGTCTACAGATGGTTATTCTAAATAGAACCATTTCATGCTTGAATGGTTCTTTGCATGGTGAAATGGTCCTTCAGATTGATGGAGAATGTGTTTCATATGAATCTTTTTGAACCTTTTTAAGCCTGAAATGGTTCTAAATAAGTCATGGTTCTAATTAAACCATTTCCTTTACTAAAGAACCCTTGAAGAACGATCTTTTTTAAGAGTGTGAATGTGCCTTAGGCTCCATTCAGACTGCAGGCCCAAATGTTTGATGACATTGTCTTTTTAATGTGTGAGTTGGACTGGTTAGACAGAGGTTGCATTGCAGGTAACGGATACATATCGGATACATATTAGATTTTAGTACCACATATGATTTGTATTTCAAATTAGATTCGAAAATGTCCAATTTAAAGTGTTTCTTACTGTTCACATTGTCACAAAAGAACAGAAGACTAGATTTGGGACTCTTTTACTTGCAGTGTAAATATACACCGGTCAGGCATAACATTATGACCACCTCCTTGTTTCTATGCTCATTGTCCATTTTATCAGCTCCTCTTACTATATAGGTGCACTTTGTAGTTCTACAGTTACAGACTGTAGTCCATCTGTTTCTCTCTCCTTGTCAGTCCACCTTGTAGATGTAAAGTCAGAGACCATAGCTCATCTGCTGCTGCACGGTTTGTGTTGGTCACCCTCTAGTCCTTCATCAGTGATCACAGGACGCTGCCCACAGGACACTGTTGGCTGGATAATTTGGTTGGTGGACTATTCTCAGATGATGGCCACGAGAGCCGGCAGGAAGGCAGGGCCTGAACTCTGTGCAAGGACAAAGCCCTGCGAGGAAGACAGGGAGAGAACCATGAGGGGCAGCTCGCGGTCCCTCAGCGAGGCCACTTAATTTGCCTTATGTTCGACCCAGGTGGCCGAGCTGTGGAGCAGGGGCAGTGACAGGGAGGCGGAACAACAAGCTTTTGTTCTCTCTCGGCTCAGGTGCTCAGGAGCGCCTTAAAAAAAGAGCAAAGAGGGAACAGAAAGAGACAGAGGGACGAGCAGCAGCAGCGATGACAGAGTAAAGAGCTGAGAAGCCCAAGTGAGAAAAGAACTGAAAATTCTAGTTCTGAAGCCACTAAAAAGTGGCGAGCTTAGATTTTGGTTGTTTGCTTTGTTTTGTGTTTGTTTGGAACAAAAATTAAAGTTAAATGGCTGCTGCGACCCTGTACCCTGACTCCAGCGTCCTTCCTGAGCCTGGGGTAGCACAGGCCGTGCTACAATTGGATACAAAAAAAAGAGCAAAAAAGAGCTCCACCTGAACCACAACAGTAAAATCCTGCTTTTATTAATTGTGAAATATCATATCTGAAGATACCGTGAAACCAGTTATCATGCTGTCAAAATTTCATACTGTTGTAACACTTGTGGGTCTTCATATGGACTTTCGGGTTTTGGTAGGTTGACCACTTAAATGGCCAGGGCCCACCAGCGGGCCCAAGGATTCATTACACACTTCTATAACCTAAGAATAGCTCAGCCAGTTTGCACTGAAGTCTCTGTAGTTACTGAATAATAAGCCTTAGTAGAGATTTTAAGGAGTTTACAGAGAAATCTTTCCATGTGGAAAGAACAGGCTGCGGCCCGCTGACGTTCAACAGAGACAAAGCCTTCCTCACGCCTGATTCGTTCAGTGGCTTCATGCTGATGGCTCTCATCACTTGTAAACATGATTGGTTCATGTCAACGGCCTGTCATTCTGGGCTTGTAATTACATGGGAGAAGAATTGTGCTAATAGACATTTGCAGAACATTCAGAGAGCCGGGGAAATCACAGGCTCCTCACCACACTGGAGCTTTTTGTTTTAGACGATAAAGCGAGACAGAAAGGGAGAGAGCGCAAGGTGCGAAGCAGGGGAACGAAATAACCCAGCGCATGACTAAATTCTTTTGTTTCCTAAAGTTAATGAAGTATGACAAGCTCGCGTTCTTACACGCCTCTAATGTGCGTGTTGAATAAGATGCCATTCTCTCTCGCTCTCTTTCTCTTTCTTTCACTCTCAATCCACCTCAACCTCCCTACCTCTATCTCTCTTTGCCACTCACTCTTTCTTTCGTGTGCTTGCACTGTTATTTTCTCTTGATACAATATCTTTATTCTCTGATAACAATGAGCCACCGTTACACAAAAGTGACTCATGCAGTGTTCATTCTCTATTACTCTCTCTTGCTGTTTAGGCCTAAAATAGAGTGGCTATTTGTATGTCTTGGCATTTATTTTGTAATTTAATCTTTATTTTGGCAGAGCAAAAGCCCGTCAAACAGCAGAAATCCTTTTTATGGTGAGGTTTTGAGTGTTGTACAGTACTGGGCAAAGTCAGAGACCACCTATCGTTTATTCAATTTCCAGTCCAAACAGCCATTATGTACATTAGGTTCTGCACTATTTGAGATATTTCTGAGGAGGTTAGATATAAGAAAGTCAAAGGAAAAGGTGACAAAGGAGGAGTGCCCAAAACTGGAGTTTAAAAAAAAATTAAAGGATACAAAATAAAATGGGACTCCTAAAAACCACCTTCAAGACCTGGTAGACCACCAAAACTTTGGATGTATCTGAAAAGCAGAAAATGCAACCAACTTCTAAGACTGAACTTTGGAGGTACGGAAAATGATTCCAAATTATTTTAAGTCTCTTAAAAGGAATGGAAGCTGTAATAAAGGCAAATAGTGAACACACTAAATACGAAAATGCCTATTTTATATTATACCGACTGGCCACTTCATGAAGTATACCTGCTCTGTGGTGGTCCGGTGGGGGGTTCTGATCATTGAACAACAGGATTAAACAATGCAACGTCCAATCAGGCTTCAGAATGTGATGCAGTGTTTTATGGGAGATCCACCATCTAACTTTTCTACCTGCTTTCCTTGAGTTTGGCTGATCTGTAGCTTATGGCCTCAATAAATGCATTAGCAAAGATGACTAGCATGTGGATCTATATGACTAACAGATCAGAGATGAAAGCAAGTTTAAAGAAAACAGAATGGAAAGGAAGGTTTAATCAGCTATTCAGACACAGCTCTGGTTAAACAGCACAGCACAGCAGAAAGTGCTGATAAACATCAAATTCGGGCTTATTTTATAGATCTAATCATATAGCAAGAACTGTCCAATAATGAATGAGGTTCAAATAATGAGCCTTTCATTATAGAAAAACCTTCAGTCTGAAGTACAGAACTGAAACGCTACTCACTGTGAATGTGGAGCTTAAAGGAAAACGAGAGAATGACTTGAAGCAGCCTTGAAACAGTTAGTCTGTAATTTGCATAGCAAATATGCTAGCTGCATAATAACTAAACAAGTTGAATTTTAATAAATTATAAAGGAATGTGATGTTTAACTTATTCAAACTTCGGCTAGATTAGCTGTCACACCGATCAGGCATAACATTATGACCACCTCCTTGTTTCTACGCTCATTGTCCATTTTATCAGCTCCACTTACTATATAGGAGCACTTTGTAGTTCTACAGTTACAGACTGTAGTCCATCTGTTTCTCTGATACTTTGTTAGCCCCCTTTTACCCTGTTCTTCAGTGGTCAGGACCCCCACGGACCCTCACAGAGCAGGTACTATTTGGGTGGTGGATCGTTCTCAGCACTGCAGTAACACTGACGTGGTGGTGGTGTGTTTGTGTGTGTCTCACTGGTACGAGTAGATCAGACACAGCAGTGCTGCTGGAGTTTTTAAACCCTGTGTCCACTCACTGTCCACTCTATTAGACACTCCTACCTTGTCAGTCCACCTTGTAGATGTAAAGTCAGAGACGATAGCTCATCTGCTGCTGCACAGTTTGTGTTGGTCATCCTCTAGTCCTTCATCAGTGGTCACAGGACGCTGCCCACAGGATGCTGTAGGCTGGATATGTTTGGTTGGTGGACTATTCTCAGTCCAGCAGTGACACTGAGGTGTTTAAAAACTCCAGCAGCTCTGCTGTGTCTGATCCACTCAGACCAGCACAGCACACACTAACACACCACCACGACATCAGTGTTACTGCAGTGCTGAGAATGATCCACCACCCAAATAGTACTTGCTCTGTGAGGGTCCATGGGGGTCCTGACCACTGAAGAACAGGGTAAAAGGGGGCTAACAAAGTATCAGAGAAACAGATGGACTACAGTCTGTAACTGTAGAACTAAAATGGACAATGAGCGTAGAAACAAGGAGGTGGTCATAATGTTATGCCTGATCGGTATATTGTACATATGATGCAAATGCAAATAATACATAGCAGTATGACAGAAATAGCTTACATAAAGATGTAGATTGTACTGTAGAAATACAGTCATCAGCAAGCTGACCAGACTGCAGTGCTCAGACAGGCCCCAAGGGCTATGATTTAGCTGCATTTTAGCTTGCATTACATTCCATGGTGGATGACGAGTATGAAGCAATTCTGCCTTTGAGTGAAACTATATGCATATTGAAATGTCAAGGATCTTGTAATATAACCCACTGATTTCTGCAATAAGTCCTCATAAATGAAACGCAAACAATGCTGTAAGCTCCATGTAGCCAGATCATTTCAGAAGATACGCCACAGTGATCTGTGAGGAACAAATCACCTGTAATTATATTGAGTACACTATGATGAACTATAATTCTAAATAATTTAAGCTGAGCTGATAAATGATATATAATGTTTAGAATG